CCCCCCAACACCACCCACCCCCCCCCCCCCCCCCCCCCACTGCAGTGCTTTTGCTTCGATTTCTTCCAGTTATAAGCATGTCTATCCGATACTATCTTATTTGCACACCGATACTTTTAGGTATATATCAAATGACAGAGCAAAAACATAAGAACGACAGAGCCACAAAGGTAAAGGTAATTAGAATGATGTTATTGCAGTCATTTCTCGTTCTTCCTTTGGAACGAATTGTCGCATGACGCAGTGTTTATTTTTCCATTTTCTCGTTCTTTGACACATATCGGTTTTTGAATCGCACACATTTTGCATTGTCGTTTTACTAGTATCTTATTTTACTTAGAACCTTTATTTTTCTCGGGCTTTAGTGATAAGAACGGTACGGTAGAGGACGAGATTGACACAGTAGTGTTACAATTCATGGTATGTTGTACTAACTGTGTTTATAATCGGAAGACTGCAATCAAATGGCACAACAGCTCCTCCCCACAAGGACGGATCGGTACATTAGTAATACTGTGTCGGAACTTCATGATGCGAACCGCAGTCCAATATTCGGTTACGAATATCTGCCTGTTTTGACGTTAGAAAAAGCTGTAGAACCAATCATCCCATATATCCCGCGTCTCAAGGAATATGTTGCTGGAGCTAAAGAAAATTGCAATCGAAATTCACCTTTCCTGACATGCGACGAATCAGCCGCAATTTATCTTTACACAATGCCAGTCTGTTTCTTTACTCTTCTCAACGAAAATCTACGAGCTAAATGCCGAGAAGACCTGAAACCATGGCTCGCTTTCTTAAAACTGTTCATCACTGCTCTCCAAAAATTACCGTCACTTGAAATTACCGTATGGAGAGGCGTTGCAGCCGACGTTAGTCCCAGCTTCGACGACAATGAAGTGAAAATTTGGTGGAGTATCAATTCCTGTTCGAAAGCAGTCTATGCCATTGAACCATTTGTAGGCGAAAATGGTACAGTGTTCACTATTGAGGTGATTTCTGGCAAAGATATTTCTGCGTACTCGTCATTTCAACAAGAGGAAGAAGTCGTTCTTATGCCAGGAACCTGCTTACGCACTAAGTTCAAACCGCTCAAGGTCATTATGCGTCCTTTCATCGTACATTTGGAAGAAGAACCTATGCCTGGGCCATCAACGAAATGGTCAGTTCATGCGAAAAGCGCTAGGACGCATAACAAATTGATGCGCTAGTGATAGAATTCTCAGAATACCGTAGTGTACGACTTGGTGTACAGATGCACCAAACTCCATCAATTAGGATTAAAAAGATTGAGGGTGAATCAAGATGAATAAGCCATCTTGTGTACCCGCTCGTAAGGAAAACTCGCAGACTTGGTTTAATTCAACTTAGTATGAATCGTTTGAGCACTGCAGATAGGTTTTGTGCACAACTTTTATCAGATTTCAGTGCATTTCCTTTCTCAATAATGCAACAAGTCCTTTGTAGAAATGACCGAGTTAATAGTATTACCGAGTTGAGAGTATTGAGTGCGACGGAAACGAACCAAACCTCATATTCACACTGGCATCCCGAAGTATCGAATTGAACTAGAATGTATCTCACTATTAGTGAATCAGAAACGCTCCCGATCAAAGCATAACACTTTCAGGAACTTCAGAGGTGTGCACATGTGGTGTTTTTCTCTTATAAATAATTGTTACATCAAAATTTTGAGTGTAACTACTTTAAAACCATTCGGAAATATTGAATTCATCTCTTCTAGTGACACAGTGACAGAATCATCTGTTTCTCAGCCATGTGTTAATACTTCTTTCGGTGTGGAATCCGTTGCTGTTAGTCATCCAGACGATCTTTCACTTGATGATCGAATCTGTATACCTAGCCAAGCAAATCGACGTAATGTTATTGGGATAATCAGCATAAACGTCAGAGCATGTATTATCTTATTCACTTTGGGTATAATATTTCTAATTTTCCTTATTAAAACACAGCACTCACTATCGTCGATTACAACTACAGTATCTGTGGATGTCATACTTGGTACCGCAGCACCACCATCACATGAAATAAGAAGTAAGCAATCTCATAATCTGGGCTTCTCGATAAAACTGAACTAAAGAATTTTTTTAAGCTAATATTAGTATCAGATAGGATACGAATATGTTCTCATTAAACGAAGAAAAGTACCGTTCGCTGACTACGAAAAAATAGAAGACTAAACCAAAATAGAAAAAATTAAAGTCGGAAAAATGAAAAATGATTGATTAGTCAATAAAAGCTATCAAATTTCTCGCTGAACAGTTCCAAAAGTTAAAGCTTTTTGTCGAAGATATTATACAAAAGCAATTAGATGAAACAAGCGTCATTAATATTCGCATGGGTCTCTGCATCATCTGAAATACCACTGTCTGATCTTCTAACATAGAACTCTTGCCTGATAAAAAGATTTTTTAAATCTCTAGTATTGGTTAGCACATTCTAGGGCGTACCGCGTAGAATATTTATTCGATCGACGTTCTACATCTCATATATGGCAGCGCTCTGATTGATCCAAGAGAATAATTGTCTAGTGAGAAATATTTTGTATTTTTTAGCGAACGTGCAAGTAAACTCTACCGTTGATACTCCGTGTATTACCCAGAATGTTCACTACCGTGCGGCAGGAAAACCGTTTGAAAATTACAACTTGTATGCGATCGATGCATCTTTGTTGATTCCAAATACGTCCATCTCGTTTGATCTCATAGTCTTTGGACCGGACTTGGGTTGTACGTGGTCATTGGATGTGTTTCCCTTGGATGGTCGAGCTATTCCATGGATTGGACGGCCCACTGGTATTACTGTCTTCGGATTATACGATCAAGCTCAAGGTTCGACCGTCCATTGGCCAAAGGTAAACACTGTGGAGCAATGGGGCAGTGGAACAGGAAAATTTGTTGTCGGCATCACCGGCTCCTGGCTTGGCTCGACAGATATGGACTGTAGGGGTACGGGCAACATGACTATATGTTTTTCCAGTTCGTGAATTCAGTTGCGGTCTTTCATAGTCAGTTGGGGCATTCGACCTTCATAATCGTCTGTGTCATGTTATCTTCCATAATTGTTTGTCAACTTTTTACCGTATTTTTTGTTTGTTTCCATTTGTAACAAGTGCTCTGTCACGTCTAGTCAATTTTAATAGAGATAATTAAAGTGCGAGCTATTGGATACAAATTCGTGATGGTTTTACTGCCAACTTGTATAACTTTTTTTATCTATAATATATTTTTCGTGAGCTCAGCAGAGTGCTACTTTCTCCACCGACCTGTCGAAATCTGACTCACGGGTGCGTATCTTTCACCTATTCTCATGTATCCATGAGTGATGCTTTCAATTACTCCGCACAGAAATATTGTACGATCATTTTTCCCTAGCGAAAAGAATATTTTCATGGGTGGTATACCCATGAGATTTTGCCGTACAATTCAATGATCATCTCGAAATCGGATGAAACTTTTCGAGTTTATGAAACGTGAAGCAGTGATCATTTTGATATTAAATATGATGAGGTTTGACCTTACTTTCATACAGATAATAGCCAAATATTGGCGTAGTAAAATATATTCAAAATAATTTCAATAGATAGTCGATCAAGCAATGTATTCAATTCAGATGTTTTTTCTTTTTATCAGTACTCAGTTTGACAATATGATCGATCCCTCGTCGAAACAATCTTTGGTTTTCTATTTTTCCTTAAACAAAAACGTGTTTTATCGGCATGACAATCAAAAAAAGGTCGAGAAACAGTGGCAACTATAATATTACTTCGATCGTATCCGTTGATGACGTACTGACAGTAAGCAAAAGACTATATTTCGTTCTATTGAGAGAAAGAAAGGTAAAAAAACGTGCATGCGTTGTGTGTCCGATTCGAGTCATTTTTTTCTTCTCTCGACATTTAACCTAGAACACGTGTATAAAATGCTTCTTATATTGCTTGTTGTCGCTGTCACTTTACTGGTACTTTATGCCAAACTGAAATACTTTACTCTTCGTGGTCCTCTACCTGGTTTACTACCTCAGTTTCTCTTTGGAAATTTAATTCAATCAGGTCTTCTATTGAGCAGTGCCTCTCTTCCTCACGTCTATTTAGCGTTTCAAGCTCGTTTTGGTGATATATTTCAATTTTGGCTCTGTCCGACACGTGTTATTGTCGTCAGTGGGAGTGGCGACGTGTGACATATATTTAACAATCGAAAGATCTACGATCGAGGCGACATGGCTATTCAGCAAATGATTTCCTGAATAGCCATGTCTCATTTGCTGCAAATGAGTCTTCTTCTATCAGACGGATTAATTTGTACAAAAGGTCAGTTTTATTGATCAAATGAGAGAATTGTTTGATGATGTAGAATAGGTGCCAAGTACAAACGACATGCTTCACTCATTTTGCCATCGTTTCGTCGTGGTAAAATCATTTCGAATTTGGATTTGATTGTCGATTGTGTCGATATACTATTGACCAAATGGCGGCTCAGTTCCACTGAACATATCCACTCGCTATTGTTCTTTAATGTCAAAATCTTTTACTTTTTATTTTTGGATTAATTGCATTTAATTAGAGGTATGTTCAGATTTCCAAAAAAAGGAAATTTCCGAAAATACCAAAATTTCTGCAATTCCTTTCAAAACATTCATGCGCATAAACGGAAATTTCGTAGAAATTCCAGTAATTATCATCAGATAAGAAAGAAATTTCCGCGAAAATTTCGAATTTTCAGATCCACGTTAACAAAAATTCCCAGAAATTTCGCAAATTATCTTCTCTTCAGCGAAGAAATCTGCTAGAAATTTCGGTAATTACTCATCCTACAGAATGAAATTTATCAGTAACTGCATAAAACGCAAACACGCCCGGGCGAAATTAGCAGGAAATTTCCGATATCAATTAACTCTAACTCATTAGTTTCTCGGAAATTACTCAACTTACACTTCAACGAAAACGCAAAGTCCGCGAAATTTCGAACACATTCCATACATGCGAAGTATTTTCTCCGAAATTTTCTTAGAAATTTCCATAATTTCTTTACTTATATCATACAGATATGTAATATCTGCAATATATCTGCAAATATCTGTCTTACGCTGAATCCAAAAATCACTTCAAGACCAAGGACTAGGAATAATGCGTCGAAAAACGCGTTACAAAATGCGCAAAACGCCGAATACCTGAAGCTTGGTTTTAAAGATCACTCTCAGTCGCCTTCTAGGAAGGCATTGAATATTTAAGAGACATAGTTCTAGATAGATCAAGACATGCTGATTTCAACGTATTACTCACTTTTGCGATAGAAGTTTGTGTTAAGGTCGAAAAACGCGGTGGAAAATGAGTCAGTCATTTTGACGTTTTAAGCCATTTGAACCCGACGATGAGAGCGAATGGAAAGCGACAGAGACCAAGTTCTTGAGTCATTTTCACTCAGAATTGGATGCCCTGTTCGCCCTGACAGTATGGTATGTATAGCATTCTTTCTAACTGAGAACATCGAGCACCAGTTTTGCCTTGGAACTTGAAAAACGCAACAACCCGAGCGTCTGTTCGCATTCACTTAGAAATACAGAAACTACATTTTCTTACTCACACTCTCTCGAATGAGATGGGTCTCAATTAATGCACCAGATGTCACTGTAACAATGGTATTTTTCCGGTGGAAATAGCCAGATATAGATTTAAACATCCCCATCCCGAGAAGTAGAAGAATTTTAGTAACTTCGGTAATTACGGAAATTTCTCTAATTTCTTTACTTATATCATATAGATACGATAAGACAGATACAGGATGAGGTAGTGATATAAAGAAATGATATAAATAAAGAAATTATAGAAATTTCCGTAATTACCAAAATTTTCAAGTAATTTCCGAGATTACTGGACATTCTTCTACTTCTAGGGGTGGGGATGTTTAAATCTATATCTGTCTTATCATATCTGTATGCTATAACTAAAAAAATTATAGAAATTTCCTGTTAATCATCAGGTAATATGTAGTACACCATTCGATAGAGCTCGCCGAAATCTGTAAGACACGCTAGCTTTTATCAACGACACAGTACAGTGGGAGAATATTTGCCAAGAATACTAGTTTATTAAATATGTTCGCGTAGAAAATATTACTGTTTGCTTAGTAACTGTGTCCCATGGAAGGATCTGTTTATTCCGAGTACCCACTGAAAAAAATAATCAAAATTCATGCAGGATCTCGCAGGACTTTGCGCAGGATCCCGCAGGACTTTGCGCAGGATCCCGCGGGTTATCGGTATTAAAATATCTGGCGATGTTTCTTACCTTTACGCAGGATTTTTATACTGCCAGCCTTGACAGAACCCTGCATAGTTTATGTAGGGTCAGCATGGAAAAAATCCTGCGTAAAGGTAAGAAACATCGCAAGACTTTTTGACTTATTCAATCCACAAGTTTTTT